GCCCAATCCACAAATGCCACGAATGCTCTGCTGCCATTTCTTCTGTGGGAGCAATATGGGCTGGTGTGCGATCTCCTTGAAAAACATCCGGGCAATCAATGACGCTGCTCAGGAGTGAACATCTCCATTCTGATGCCATTGGGTTATATCACCAAAGTGTCTCTCTACCTCTCCCTTCACACCACCTTCAGCCAACATCATACAAAGCCAATGTGCCTCATACTGTCAATTCATAGCTGAACTTAACAAGAATCGTTACCCGCATACCAATTGCCTAATCGTGACAAGAAAAGTGAAATTTTGACTCACCGAGTCTCCAGACTTCAGCTCCACAACGACCCCGCTGGCCCTCAGGCCACCTCTCTTGGCATGGACGTCAGTTACTGCCCGATGATCAATCTGAGACCTCTGAATATCCATAACAAAACAAACAATGGTCACAAGAATTCATTTTAGTTTCTATTCTATGCAGCCATCATCTTCCCAATGAAATCGCATTCAATTTTTTTCAGCAAGGGTAAACGAAGACCGGTAGGCAAAAAGGACCAATGCGTCACCAGTGACCGGAAGAGGGCACACACCCACAAACCGCTGGTGGTGATGAGCATTACTATCAACAGAGCTCCACTGCCGCTGAAAACTGTTTTCTTGAACCTTGGCCAATGGTGGCAAGAGTCGGTCATTTCAGGCAACATATAGGTTCTTCCCATTGAGATCGCAATCCAGCAGCAGAGGTATACTATTGGGCTTCCACATGGTCCCTTGTATAACAGCATATAACTCACCAAGATCACCGGGAGCTTTGTTGGTGAGGAGACGGTGGAGGACGGCGGCGGAGAGGTGGCAGGAGAAGAATTAGCATCAGGAGGACATGAAGGCATGCCCAGCCAAGTTGATAATCCCAATTGAGCCTCTCCTAAAATTTCGGAGGCTCGGGACAGGGCGTCCGAAGGGCCGGTACGAAAAAAAACTGTCCCATGTCGTGGGATGGCACTAGTCCCCGTCCTGAACAAAAGAAAAAAATTCCGCCCGCCCCCAGGCGGGCCATGTCCTGAGTCCCCTAACTTTTCAACGATCCCCATTCGAATTCTCCAGACGTACTGGCGGTTTAAGAATACTATATTTCACTGCAAATGGGATTTCCTTCCCTCACCTGCAGACATCGCTCCTCCGCTCCTAAAAGGAGTTACCTAGGAGGAGGCACGAAGGAGAGGAGGGCAGAAGAAGAGTGTGTATGGCCATGATGCATGTGAAGAATGCATGCATATGAATTGCCAGCACTGACATCCACTTGCTTCTGGCGCAGAGGGACCCTTTTAGCTGAAGGAGGAGGTCGAAAACGTGTACCACATCCCTAATATTGGGCTTCGCTGCACTACTCTTGAAATGCACAAAAGACAAAAATCATGGCCATGTATCTGTCCATATTCTAGTGGAAGATTCACTCTCGTTTTGCAGATCTCGAGAGTAGTGCAGCGAGGCCCATAAGCTACAACTCGTGAGCATGATGGAATGCCTGGCACTTTCAATCGACCCAGTTTTGCAACAAAAAAAAAAGAGAGAGTTCCAATGTTTCAGGATAACTGGACCAAAACGAAGGAAAAGACTATGAAGCACATGTCGGAAACTGCAATTCTCGCAGATACTCTAAGGGCATATTCACACTAGACTTTTCCGACTCAGCTACGGTCATGATTGCAGTCACATGCATCGAGGCACGACTGTAAAATTGCGGTCAGATACATATGCCCTAATCCGAATCAGTGTGTACTCACACTGGGAAGTTTGTGGATGTCTTTGACTGCAAATAGGGACGAATCTGACCGCAATAATTTTCGCATATTAGTCAAACGAGTCCTAGTGTGCGTATTCCCTCACATGTTCCCAGGTGACATGAAAAGGATGGCCGTAACTCTAACAGCATATACTCACACAAGGACTTTCCTGGATGTATCGGACTGCAGTTACAGCCCGAACAGGACTTATTTGACCATAGTTATCATTATTATTTTATTCATCATTAAACAAAAAAGGGTCCTTATGGGCCTGGCTGAGGCTGGCTCCATATCCATTCTGGGCAGCGTCAGAACAGNTATTTGACCATAGGTATCATTATTATTTTATTCATCATTAAACAAAAAAGGGTCCTTATGGGCCTGGCTGAGGCTGGCTCCATATCCATTCTGGGAAGCGTCAGCACCTCTTCCAGGTGAACTTTTGCAAAGAATTTGTCCACCTGTGGGGGTCATGTGCTGCCTGGCGTGAGGTGTGCAATAATTGTCCCGTTCGCATAGTGGTGTGTGGTGTGTGTGAATTGGACTCTACAGCCATGTGCAAGGAATATGAGCGAGAGCCATAGACAGAAAACCAAGGTGCAAAATCACACAGATGTCCAGATAGTCACGTACTAAGCAGAGAGCTCAAATGCACCAAGATTCCATCCAAATAAGACCAAAGCAGTGAACTCGTGTGCCGATGTTATCGCCCTCAGGCCCCACCAACACAGTATCCAACGTCGCTCATCTCTGTCTGGCGACCAGCGACCAGCCCACTCTACTGAGCCTATCTAGCCTATCTACATTCTTTCAACAGGATCACTCCGACGTTGAAGACCAATGTACATGGCGTCAACACCAATGCTGACCTCCCACATACACCAGGTACATTCTCTCTCCTCCCCTCATCAGTCCTTGACCACCCACTCACGCACCTCCTACCTGAACACCACCTTCACCCATCACCCGCATGCGACCCTGCAGCCCGGCTATGGCTGCCGTGCGCCCGCTGCCCTGCAGCGCCCCTCTCACCTCATAGCGCCTGCGTGTGCCCCAGCCAGCAGCGCACATGCAGACACTTGAGCAGCTACGCAGCAGCCTGTCCGCATTGCCTGCCTAGGCCAGAATGCCATCCTCTGGCCAGCGACCTCCCTATATGGAAGTCGCGGCCTCTCTTTGGCTGTGAGGGACTGGCTGAGGAAGCTCCCAGTAGCATCCAGTGGGCCCAAGTGTTTGTGTCCAGGCCCTGTCCAACAGTTGGGGCCTCGACCCTTTCTGGTTGGGCACGTCCAGGGAGCATCCAGGCTCCAAGTGTTTGCCGTCTTCTCATTGGCTCGCTGGGCCAATGTGACGACAATGCTGCTTTCTGATTCGCCCGCACCCACTTCATGATGTATCGGCCTCACACTGCATGTGCCCAGGGCACAACCACCCGGCCCTGGGCTCAACTGCTTGACACAGCTGCTGTTTCTGGAAGGAGCCCACGGAGAGGCTCACATTGCTCTTCAACCAACTGGCGTGCTGCAACTGTCTGATACCCACATTGAAAAATGCTGAGATACGGGCCTCTTATGGATATTCGGGCCCGCCTTCACTTAGGGCGTGCACAAGGCTTGCTGGGGGCCATGTGCATGTTGGCTAACGCCCCGTGAGGGCACATTCCTCACATTCCATCCCCATTAACTTCAAAAGTCCGCTGAGATGCTTCTTAGCAGGAGCCTTCCCCTTCAACCTTATTTCATAATTTGCCACGATTTGCGGTGCTGTTTGAACCAGTTCCTCTCTTGTGAACCATCGGTCTTCTTTCGGATCCGTGTGATGCCTGAATCTGACCTGGTACTCCCTCTCGGGTTTCGGGGGTCTTCCTCTACCCACAGGCTTGGGAACCGGCATATCTCTGTGCTCCAAAATGTCATTGACGTCCACGTGGTCATCCATGGTTGGGGGCAGCATTGATCTCCTTGATGGGAACTGCTGTGTCTCAGCAAAAGGTGCAAGCTTTGAGGCGTGAAACACAGGGTAAGTTTTTAAATCCTGCCTTTTCAAGAAAGAGTAACCCATCCACCATGACAAACTCATCTGATGTGGCCTTATCTCTAGACTCAAGTTTGCGCATGATGTCCATCGTGACGGGGTCTTCCTTGAAGGCTTCCACCAAGGATCGAGTTACATCATCTGATAAGCCAAACTCAGTAATCAGCGCTCCCAGGTAGTATGCCCTCCGTGACACAGCATTAGCAACCTTGTTGTACTCTCCCTTCACGTAGTCTAGCTTGAAGTCATATTGGTCTATGACTCCAATCCAGCGTTTGAGTGCGACGGACAGGAGAGGTTGTGTCACGATCCACTTGAGTGTCTGATGGGCAGTTCTTAGGTAGAAAAACCTTCCCAACAAATAGCGTCTCCAGTGGACAAGTGCTTTGCAGAGGGCGTAG